TGACGCATTTTAGAAAATATATTGCACTTTTACGCAAAAAGTATTCGTACCCTGCAAACCTTTTCACGTTTCACCAAGCTATCTCAAGAGGTTTTGGGGGAGATTTTATGTGACGTAGATCGAAACGAAGCAGCTGGGAATTGCAACTTTATGGTCTAGATCAAAACATTTGCATGTTTGATTTGGCCTAGTTAAAGTCCAGATCAAAAACCAATTGTAAGGCCAGAAAAAAATATATTTGCTGATGCTCAGTGACTGTGCTTGAGCTATTTTGAAAACAAGAATGGTTAAAAAAAAAAAACACACACAAAAGAACAACAACAACTATTTCCTCTATATCTGCATAGCTTGAAGAAACAAAGGATATGTCGGAGAGTTGCAGGTGTAATTGCAGCAAAAGGTGGATTTACAGGGGGGCTGAATCACTGTGGCTGAATACAAATGTCTGCCACACTTTTCAGATTTGTAGACATCTAAAAAATATGTTTATTCCTGTCTTTCCACTTAATAATCTTGCTCTACTTTGTGAAGTGCATCACATAAAATCTCAAATAAACACCTTGAAGTTTGTTGATGCTGTGTGATGCTTCCCAAGCACCGCGTGACATCAGTCCTTAGCTTTCATTTCCACTTATTATTTTGCGGAACTCAGTTCTGAAGTAGAAATGAGTTGCTGAGACGCCACAGTCACCTTCACTCAACCTGCATGAGAACAAACCAACACAAAGGCCTCTCATGAAATGTAATATAGATCAGCGCATCAGCTTTGGCATTTCGTTTTGTCCCTGAATGAATGAGTGGCTCTCAGTGTGCACACATGTACGTTCCAGCTTTACTTCTGCTCGAGAGTTTTGTCCAGTGGGATGTTAATAAAGACAGAGTGGATTTTCTGTCTGTTTGCCAAAGTGAGGTCTTTTCCATCCCCTTCCTCCGTTTGTTCTTTAACATTCTATCCTTTCTGCAAGACTGAATAAAGACCTTACCATGAGCCGCACCTTATAAGCCAATGTTTGGATTCCCTTCAGCACCACCGCCAAGAGATCTCTGCACATGTAAATGCTGAGCAAGGGGTAATCTTCGGAGAGCCAAAAATCTACACAATATATGCTCAGGAATCATCAGCTATGAGGTGCTACTTTATTCAGATTGAGAGAGCTGGATCACTGTGAGAGAGAAAAGCAGCTTCTGCTTCTTCGGCACCACATCTCCGTTGAGGAAGTGGAGTGTCAGCTACGTGTCTGGGGTGGATTTGCGAGGCCGGATGCTTAAACAGACAAAGCAAGCTTCAGAATCAAAGAGCTGCCAGTCCTGAAGAGCCTTTGCGCACTTCGTGCTTAGCTCCAGATTTATTTTATATCCCCTATAAATGCCTTTGGTTCTGCATGAAACTTGACTTTAACAGAAGCATTGCTCTTTGCTTTTTCCTCAACCCTTTACTTTCCTCGAAATAATAATATACTTACAGGTAGGCGAAAAGTCGAATGTTCCCCAGTCAGGAGAGAACGGGCCTTCAGTGCATCGTGTTAGGACGGTGTTAGCTGATTTCAACATGGATAGTAGAAAATCTGTCCAAAATCTCCCACAAATGGTTCGGTGTCCTTTCGATGACTCCTCATGCTGACCAGTGGGCAGATGTGAACTAAAGTGACCGTTGGGTTTTCAGCTACCGCTATCGTTTTGAAAAACCATTGTTGTGAACACACATACTTACACGCAGCTTCCTCCATATTTATCAGCTGAGTAAAAACCCTTAAAATGCCTTATTGAGTGAGATTGTGATGCCAAGCAATCATGTGATAATTTGGTGTTTTTTTTAGAGTTTTTTTTCTTAAAGGAAGAAGAACTTCTAATTTTTCTAAACAGCAACCAAAACCAATCAATAACTCAGTTAGCTTGAATTCTCCGTAGGCGTCTTTGACATTTTGCTTGCTAGTCTTATTGCAAAAGGAGCGTATTAGCGGTAAGTGTATTCGTGGGAGCTGCAGGTGCCACTGATTCTCATTCGGGCCGCTTAACCGAGTTATCTTGCCGTGTCTTTTCACAGCCATCTGTTTGGTATTAACGTGAAAGTAGATGTTAGAAACCGGAGTATCAGGTCGCCTTTGACTGCACAGAACATCACGACATAGCGCTAATTGGCAGGCTTGAGCCTCTGACTGAGTCAAAAAGACAATTGGTTAGCAGTAAAGGCGTGTGACGATGTGGAACAAATTCAATCTTAACATGCAAGGGAACAACCACAAAGCTTTTTGTGGAAAAAAAAAAACACGAGTGGATGTTTGGCTCACACACCTGGGCCCTAACAGCCAGCTCATCTCACCTTTAAATAGCTCTCAAGTGAGCTTCCATTTTATAGATAGAATGAATAAGTGCTTTTTTTTGTCTTCAAAAATCTGAAATTTGAGTCTGTCTTATTTGAGGATGAAGTCTTTACGGATGTCCCTCTAATCTGGACCAGTCGTTTGCTTTCAGGCTGAAAAGTCGGCCAGAATTGATCGTCCTTTCTAACGCTCCCAGTGGAATTTGCCTTCCTCTGTGCTGCGGTCACAGTGTCCTGTTTCAAGCATAGGTTGTTGGATTATCTCTGACTTGTTGTGACAACAAATGGTCAGGTCTGGTGTATACAGTGTAAACTCGTCTCAGGACAGCATGAGGGAAAAAAAAAAAAAAGTCATTGTTTTTTTTTTACAGAGGGTCTGCTTTCGTCTGCCGATTTCAGCAGCGTGGGGATGATAAACGCAGCAGCTTCACCCCTTCTGATTCAGTTATCATTCAGATTTTGAAAAGGCCGCTGACACATCCAGGAAAATATGCCGCGTATGTGTGCGAACAGATAACCCACCTCTATCTTTTGCTCGACATCTCTTTGCCGCCATCCTTTTTGATGAACACAAATTACAAGTATGCACACAAACAGGCACTGGTTTGGTCACATACCAGCACCCTGCAGACATACTGGTACCAAAGGAGACATTTTTCTGCTTCTTGCCTCCATATTAAAGCCTGTTATGAATCCAGATTCAGTATCAGCCTTTGCATGGGCGCTGAGCATGCACATTTCTTTTTTTTCCCCCCATTATTGATGATATCATCTGTGGAGGAAACACTCAGGCGCTCTGGTCAGAGGTCACATGACTTTCCCAGGCCAGAGTGTGTCTCTGAACATGAAGGGGACATGTGTCTGCGCATGCTCCAACATTTTCAAAAGGAGGGGAAGTCCAGACACTTGGGACTCAGTTCGTGATGTTCGGTCTTAGTTGAGGCTATCGAACAGAAAAAATAAAAATAAAGACTTGCAGGCTCGGCTTACCACAAGGGGGGGTCCGAAAAACAGACAGACAGTGGTTGCAGCAGCAGAGAGGAATGCCTTGAAGGTCAGTGACCCCACAAATTTAACTGTACAATACTGCTCAGCTTAATCTGCTCCAGTCACAGATAATTGCATACAGACTGTGGATTCTCAAACCTCACAGCACATAAGTGGCAGCTGCATTAGCCTCTGCCTAAAGCACCGCATTAGCAGACATATGTGAATGTTTTTGTTTTTTTTATTTAAACCCCTTTACATCATTGCTTGCTGAATGAAATCAATTTTGTTGCCAAAATATTCTACGCTGGGCAGAAATCAATCATTCCTCAGTTGTTTTATATTTCCCCTCCAAGCAGTCAGAATATATTATGACATTTTTAAGGTTTTCCTTCTAAAATACTTGAATGTTTTGAGATGTTAAAATACCTTTTTTTTCTTTTTTTTTTAGGAATGTGCCTCCTGATCTCAGAGCATGAGCCGCTGTTGTTTTGACACATAGCAGAGAACTTAATGGTGACCCAAAGCTGAATTGGATTAAAACCCTGGCATAAAGATATAATTTATTTTCATTTCTTCAGTTGTAGCTTAACAATTAGCAATTAGCTTGAGAGAGATAAACTGGTATTTTGGCGTCCAGTAGGTGAAAACCAAAGTGCTTTTACCTGTATACGTTCAATGAAAGATGATTAATCTCTTCGGTCCTGTTTCAGAACTTCTTCAGACATGAAGAAGAGCTGGCGCTTTGAAACTATTCAAATGAAGCTGTTCTTGGACTAGGCCAAAACTTTATGTGGAGGTAACATTTAGTAAACTCATCCTGTTGTGGTACAAACGCAACAATTTAAAAGAAGAAGAAGAATGAGTAGAATGAGTTCATTGCTTTTCAGAAAATTACAATTAATTCTTCTGCAACTAACTTAAAACCGTGATTACAAAAGCTATGACAAAGTTATGCATTTGGATTTTAATGGACTTAATAAAATATTAAACACCTGCTAAATATCAGAGTAGCTAATTATTATTATGATTTTTTTCCATTCTGCTTTTCGAAGAGTATCACAAGCTGATTATCATAGTAAGAAACTGGAAAAGTGCAATGACATCAAAACATCAAAATAACACAAAAAAGACATTGAAACATGAAATAAATCAAAAGAATAAAAATGTAAGCATCACTGGAAACAAAAGAAAGATGCAAATTAAAACAAAATGGGGAAAAAAATGCGCAGATGTGACCTAATTAATTAACCTTTGAACTTTATTGGAAAGCGGAAGAAAACAATAATATTCTCAGCCCTAATTCTGTCTCTCCTTTTCCTTTTCTACACCTTGATTCTTCAACCAATCACTCCACAATATGCAAGGGTTGTTATCAGAAACATTACACAGACAAAATCCAAAGAACAAAAATGTAGGAAGACCTACAGAAAACCCGAGTAATATTTATAAAGATAGTTTTGAAAGGTGGCAAAAAAAAAAAACACATCTAACCCAGTTATGACTAAAAACTTGAACCGTTTGCAGAGAAAAGAAGAGATTAACGTTAATTCTCAAATACAGTTCAAGTCATTAAGTGACTCAGAACACAAAGTGAGACAATGTCGTCTTACATTTATGAGGATTTGCCCATCCTTTACAGCCAGATCACATCTAGTGGCTCCTCACCTTCTGGTCCCTCCTGTGACGCAGAATGTTATCAGTTTCCCTCTGCGACCTCACCCACGTCAGGTTGAGTTTACTGCTCCACTAAAACCGACGTGTTCCTGACTTTCTGTCTCCCTTTCACCTTCCCCGTCTGGTTCTGTTTTTAGATATGTGCCAACGTGCTGATCTTCCTGTGCGCTAACATCATCGGGATCTGTACCCACTATCCCGCCGAGGTCTCCCAGAGACAGACCTTCCAGGAGACGAGAGGATACATTCAGGCCAGGCAGCACCTGCAGAGGGAGAACCATCAGCAGGTACACACACACCTGCGTTTCCTGCTGGAGTCAGACAGGGAGCAGCCGTGCCGACGTCCTCCAGGAAAACCCGTCACATACATGCAAATAAGTAACAAATTGGAGTCTCCACGTCACAGACTGATTTGTTTGTCTCTTTTTTTTTTGGTTCTTGTTGTAAGGTCAAAAACACAAATCTCCACAACTTTCTAGTTGACTAACACATTCCCACGCACATGCCAGTAAAACACAGTGACTCATTCAGTATTTTTAGTGGAAAATAATCTTTAAAAAGTCCTCTCTACGTGTTTGTGTGTGTGTGTGTTTCTCTCTTTCTTTCTGCCTTTTCTTTTAAAATTCCTCCCTCTTCCTCTCTCTCTCTCTCTCTCTCTCTCTCTCTGCCTTGTTTAGGAACGGTTGCTGCTATCTGTTTTGCCGAGACACGTTGCAATGGAGATGAAGGCTGATATCATTGCCAAGAAGGAAGACATGATGTTTCACAAGATCTACATCCAGAAACACGATAATGTGAGGTAAGCCCAGTAATGGACACAGCCAACCTAAGACGGCGTTGTACCTGACTGAGATGTTTTTCCCCTGAGAGTGACTGTTACGCATATCGTGGTTTGATGACACAGATATTAACCTAACCATGTTTTCAGTAGTAAATTATGAGAGGTAGGCCCAACGTTTCCTGTGCCTCTTTCTCATTACCATCTGGTTTTCACATCCTGAAATGGAAGAACTCACTACTAATAGAGGAACAAAAAAAAAACAGTTTCTGCAGAGATCTTCTGTGGCAGATGACCCAGATAAGGAAGGTTGATTTACGGCGCTTAGTGACATAATGCTTTGCCTCACTGCTGCCCTACTAAGGTGTGAATGTTCCAGGAACAATCAATTTCCTCGATGTAACCCAGATTAAAACCTTTAGTTTTTGTCAAGTTATTTTCAGGTCTTTTTGTGAAGGATTCAGCACAGAATCACATAAACAAACAAAAGCTACTCCTTTTTTGCTTTCACAGAATCCTCAAATTGAACTAATTCCGAATAAAATAATCAGTTTAATTCAGTTCAGAGTTTATCTCTTTCTTTGTTTTATCCCTGCAGAGCCTAAAAATCATCTAATATCGCCTCTGCAAATACTGAAGAGCCACCAGTGGTTCAGTGAAATAATACCCAGTTTTGACTCACAGGGTTGTTTTCTTAGGTTTTGTTCCCTTTGTAGGTTGGTTCTCTGACTCATAGGTCCTTGAGTCACGTCATTTCAGTTACTAAAAAATCCCAAAGCTGAAGTTTATCTGCACCAAATTAGGAAAAAAAAAACTCTTAAAATGATTTTTATTATAATGTGGTTTGGCCTCTGACTGGCCAGTAGTAAATGTGTTTATTGTGTGGGAGTTAGTAAGACTTGTAAAAGTATTAAAGTCTCTTGGATTTTTATTTTTATTTTTTTTGTTCACATTACAACCACAAACCTCAGTATGTTTTACTGTGGTCATATATTGCAGACCAACAAAAAGTACTAGCACATAATTTTAAAATGGAAGAAGGACACCTGCTTTTTCTGTTTTAATTTAGCAAATAATATATATATATATATATATATATATATATATATATATATATATATATATATATATATATATATATATATATATTTATCACAGTGTAAATTTAGCAATGTGAAAGACTTAGTTATTTGTTTGGAAAGCATTGGTGAAGGAGCAGCTTCATAAAGACTGAGGAACACAGCACACAGGTCAGGGAGGAAGTTGTCCTCACGTTACATCACCCTGAATACTTGACACCGTCCTGAAACAGAGTGCCGGCTGCAGCGTCATGCTTTGGGAAAGCGCGTTTTCAGACGAGATGGTGAAAGTGATGCTCAGAGTAAAAGATAAAAGAGTCTTCATACAAGGTAAAGCATGATAGGTTAGAATGACCCAAGATCTTTGGCAATAGTTGAAGATTACTGTTCTCAAACTCACTCCACTGTGAGTACAAGGAATTTCTGTAGACAAGAAAATGACAAAATTTCCAAAATGTCTCTAGATGTGTAAAGCTGGTGAAGACACACCCCAAAAACAATAAAATCTGGTTCTCCTTAATGTTGACTTAGAGTGGGCTAAGTAAAAAATATTAATAATTAACATGGACATAAGTAATCAGAATAAATGGCCAGTAAGAATAAAAATGCATAATGTAATTTCTATTCTGATCAGCCTCAGCTCGATTGGACTGAATTTGTAATCTGAATGAGAGAAGTTGGTTAATACGGCGAGTGATAATCCAAATGTCGTGCATGTAAAGACTTGTTCTGAGTGTGGCAGATTGACCTGACTGTGCATGTGTGCGATAAGTCGGAGAAGAAAGAATGGTTTGTTGCTCTCTGGTCGTCTAATGCAGGAAAACCAACAGCATGTGTTGCTTATAGCCTGCAGCTTAAATAGAGAGTTAAGTAACAGAACCTGGTGCAGATCCGTTCTGGTCCCTTAGAAGACACAAAACAAAGACACAACTCTTGTTTTTTTATGTGCAGTACAGACAGAAGTACCACTTCTTCTTCTTCTCTCTTTTTAGGGAAATGTTACCACTCTGCGCATACCACTCCATATAAACCATATATTCTGATTATTTAACCCGAATACATTTCCATCCGATCAAGGAATTTCGCACATGTAAACATAACCACAGTCTTTAAATTTGTATTTGTAAAATAAATCCGTACACCTGTTGTCCTTCCTACTTACAGTTGTGCACCTTTGTATGCTGTCTGTTCGTTCACATAAAATTCACATAAAATTCACATAAAACCACAACAGAGCATTCTGAGAGACAATCTGAGCTTAAAAGTTTAAAACTTCATATGTCAAAATATTACACTTTAGATTAACTTATTATATGGCGGTAAGACGTTACTGCCCACATGAAGCTGTGTAGAAGATGAAAAACCCGTCCCCTAGTGGGACAGACAGCATCATCTGTCACCTTGAACAGCGTCTTTGGTCTTCCTGTTGTTTATCCTTGTGCTTCGTTTCTTTTAAAAGTTAAACCAACAAAGTCAAGCAGACCTGGCGACGGCTGGGGGGGGGCGGAGGTGTTCTCAGAGGGGAGGGATGGATGTTGTGACCTAAATCTGACTAAACGACCAGAGCCGTGGCTGAACAAGTGTCTGCGACTCTTTTTGTCTCTTCTCTGCTCCAGTGGCATTCGGAGCAGTTTCCTCCTTCCTCTTGTATTTGATTAATCTAATTCTCCTCTTTTTTTTTTTCTTTTTTCCTTCGTCCCTCTCACCTCTCCCACCTCAACGTCTCATGATCTGCAGCATACTATTTGCCGACATCGAGGGCTTCACCAGCCTGGCGTCTCAGTGCACGGCACAGGAACTGGTCATGACGCTGAACGAGCTATTCGCCCGTTTCGACAAGCTGGCCTCGGTGAGACACCTGCTGCTGCTGCGGCTTTCGCTGCACAACTCTGAACCACCGACTCCAGTGCAACTGTGCAATCTGCAGCCTTAGCGGATCACGGATGAAAGTGGCATTATGTACTTTGATGAACTGCAAACGCCACTAGTTAGATTACGCGGAGACTTATCTACAGTTAAGTGAGAAACTATTTGTCTCCTTGAAGATTTAATCTTAATTTGTTTTGTGTAACACGCCAATGTTACACAAAACAAAAAACTTCAATATCTGATAAAGTTAAAGCCAACTAAATACAAGAAGTAGTTTTCATATAGTTACAAATTCTACAATTATGAATGTACAAACCATGCAGTCATCCTCCGTGAAGCCATTAATTAAAGCTAATTAATCACAATTTTACCAACTTTATTATTTCCAGACCCATAAGATCAATACATTTTCTGACAACATAAAGTAGACAAAAAAGACCCAATGAAGGGACACATAAAGCCCAGATACAAAGAAATTCAACAATGAAAATTTTGGGACTTCAGTGAGAGACATTGTCCACAGAAGCAGAAAACATAAAACAGTCGTGAACCTTACCAAGAGTTGCCTTTGAAAATTGCATAAAGAGTACATCTCTGACTAATCCATGAGGTCACCAATGAGCCCAAAACAACATCTACAGCACAGCAGACTTTATTTGGTGGAATTAAGTTCAGCGCTACTGATTTAAAAAATGGAGAGAGTAAACAAAAATGCCTTTATGGTAGAGCTCTAAGCACAAAACCTATGCTAGAAAAATGAAAAAAAAAAAAAAAAAGCCTTCTTGGTCCACAAGATTCTACGTAAAATATTCTACAGATTTACCAAGACAAAAGGTGTTCATCTTGTCATATCAGAAAATCCTGGAGGAGAATGTCTGGTCATCAATTTCAGCTTGACGATGATCTGAGCAGCGCCAGAAAGCCGATCTCATAACGACTCAAAACAAAGACAATAAAAACCCAAATTGAAATTGTCGCACTTAAATTGGACCGAGATATAATAAACAGGCCGTTGATGTTCAGCCTGCGTCGTACAAAGCAATTCTCCAATGAAGAATGGGTAAAAATTCAGCAGCAGTGATGTAAAAGACTCTGGCACTCATCAAAAACACTTGTGGTTGCTGCAAAGAGTGGCACAAGTTGAGTTTAAGAAGGAGACATCTGCTATTTCTTTTAGGGCCATGTTGTTTTGGATAGCATTTTATCTTAACAAACATGGTGGGTTTTTTTTGTTTTTTTTCCAGATTATCTTTGAAATTAAAATTTGTGTGACGATCTGAGACATTCGAGTGTGACACAAAGGAAAAGGCTGAACAAATCCAAAATGCTTTTAATCACAGAACTGCTAGCTGAACGTTAGGTCTCACGAAAAACTTAACATTGTAGGTGAAATCTGTATTTTGCTGCTTTGCTGAACAGGAGAACCACTGCCTCCGCATCAAAATCCTCGGAGACTGTTATTACTGCGTATCGGGTCTGCCGGAGCCCCGGGCTGACCATGCCCACTGCTGTGTGGAGATGGGAGTGGACATGATTGAAGCCATCTCGTGAGCGAACACTGAACACTGCAACACACAGAAACCGTCATGAAATGTCCGTCAAGGTCCTTTTTTTTTTTTTTTTTAACAGCAGTGTGTGTATTTTCATCTGCAGGCTGGTAAGAGAAGTGACAGGTGTTAATGTGAACATGCGGGTGGGCATTCACAGCGGGCGAGTTCACTGCGGGGTGCTGGGCCTGCGCAAGTGGCAGTTTGACGTCTGGTCCAACGACGTGACGCTCGCCAACCAAATGGAGGCCGGGGGGAAGGCAGGGTGAGAACCTCCGGCTCCACCTGCTGCTTGACGTGGCGGACGACCGCGTTCTCCGTGCAGCTTCTGATTTCTGAATTGCTCGTGTTCTCAGACGTATCCACATTACCAAAGCCACCTTGCAGTACCTGAACGGGGATTATGAGGTGGAGCCGGGATACGGAGGGGAGAGGAACGCGTACCTGAAGGAAAACAACATCGAAACCTTTTTGGTGCTTGGCTGCAGCCAGAAAAGAGTGAGAGCTCTTATCTGCGTGGCTCCTCTTAAAATACCACGCCGCTGCCACATATTTCACACAAACAGCCGAATGCTTTTGGTCACATGGCTTTAAGGGCATTTATTTATTTTTTCCTTTCAGAAAGAGGAGAAAGCCATGATGGCCAAACTTCACCGAAAGCGTGCAAATTCTGCAGAGGGACTGATGTCCCATTGGGTGTCTGATAGAGCTTTCTCCAGAAGTAAGGAGTCTAAAGTCTACAAGAAGATGGTGAGATTCCCTCTAAAATGTTGCTAGATTTTTTTTTTTTTTTTTTTTTTTTACATATAGATTAGCAAGCAAAACCTCACACTTGCTGTGAGCCATTTTGGAGCTGTGTTTGAGTTGTATTGCTTATGTTATTAGAAGATTAATGCAGTGATGGCATCTACCAAAGAAGACAGATTATAGAGCTGAGCCTGTTGTTTATTAGGAATAGTGTCAGCCCACCCTGCGAGTTGACAGACCCGGTGAATGTTGCTCCGAGGGAGAAACTGTTGACAGACAGAAACAAGCAAGTTTGATGCTTGTTATTTTACTGCAAACTGTTATGTAAAATGCTATGTTGGTTAAATTTCTGACTGGCCTCATGTTGAACACCATAAGTGCTAAGCAGTAATCTGATTCAGCCACACTGAAGTAAAGAAGTTCTGCCTCATCTGAAGTTACCATATTTGGGCAAAAATGTCCTTTTCTATGGGGGTCAAAAAGTGCCAATCCATTAAATAATGACAAATCACTAAATTATTACTTGAAAATGTTCTGAAAATATATTTATTTTATTTCATAAGGATGCAGTGTAATAATCAAAAAATACTAGGAAAAAAAGATTCCACATTTCAGGAGCAGTAAGTGTTTTCTTCATGTGTTTTTTTTATTATTATTTGAGTTGATGGAACAAAATACAATCACTAACAATATGTTCCTCTAATGTTCACTGATCATTTTAACGTGGTCAAAGCTAATATGTTCACACTACTAGAGTAGTTTTAAACTCATGTTCATTAAAACCATAATACTTGGACAAGGCTCTGTAAATATTATTTTTTTTTAAAGTGAGAAAAATTTGGAGGCTTTCTGTGCCGACATAAAAGAGCCACTGCAAATTTGGGAAAAGAAAACAGAAATCACAAAAGATCTCCAGGGGAGCTTCCTGGTTCTTCACCATTTCTCCCTCACCCTCTCCTTAATCTTGAAGTCTCATTTCCTTTTTATTCCGGCATTCTTTCTCTATCCTCCTCCTCTGTCCTTTCTATCTCAGAGGGTTTGAGCCCTTGGGGCAAAGAGGGTGTAATTTGAAGCCTCTGAGCATTAATTAAAACATCAAACTCGCTCACAGGGATTAACTGTGCAGATGTCTGAGACTCTGTCTGTTTTTCACTTTTACTGTTGCTCCTTCTCTATTTTGAGACTTTTTCTGTCTTTCTTCCTTATTTATGCTCTGTATTTTTATTTTTCCCAGGGCATTGACGCAGCGTCCAGCAAAGAAAAGTGAGTATTTTATTCCCGGTTTTTGTTGCTGGGGCAGCTTTTATTATAAGAGGTTTTCTGGCAGACTGTCAGTGTAGATCTTTCACTCTGGTGGCTACTGTTAGTTTTATTTAGTCAGATCCAGCGCAGCACTAATACCGTACTGGATCTGGTTCTTCCTGCCTGTCATAACACAGGTTGATCCTCTCACAAACACATTTTCTCAGACGCAAACACAGACTAAACTCTGAACTGCTGATGCATTTGTTGCGACTATCAGCCCCTCCAAAGGACTTTATTGTGCATAAGCCGACAGTTTCACAGGTTATTTAAATCAAATCCGCCTCATAGGTCAACTAGAAGAGATGATTTCTTACATTTCTTAGAGATTTTGAAGAAACATTAAGAATGTAAAGTCATAAAAACAAAGAGATAAATTGCCAGGTACAACAAAATAACCGGATTTTTTTTTTTATTATAAGAATTAAACTGATCAGAAACTTATAAATATTCAAATAACTTTCAGAAGTTCAAGAAAAAATATACTCCACATCATTTCTTGTGAAGCATTAAAACTTCTTACCAGAAAGAACTTTGTTCCAGAGTAAAAGAGGAAATTTAAAAGAGCTTTAAAATCTTTTCCATTACAAAGAGTGGAGATTAGGATGGGAGCTGCAGACCACCAGTCTGTTAGCTCACATCAGCCTCCATTCAGAACAAGCACAAAACGATGGTTTGGGCCTAACATGTTCTGCCGTCTTCAACACATGAAACCGGCTGCATAGATGCAGATAAACGTCTCTTTCATAATCATTTCCCTGACCCACAGCACTTCTGGTAGAACAGGCTGTAATGTAAAGAACGAATCCCCCAAAACAGTTAACGAAGGCTTAAACACACAACTGAGAAGGTAAAGTCCAGAACGTGAACGCTTCACTCAAATTAGACAAATTACCTTAGCATGTAAACATTTATCACAACCTCAGCTCGGCCCCTTTGTTGGACAGAGGCTCTTTGAGAGTAACGTTCTGAAGATCACGCGCCACCAGGACTTAAACTTCCTCTCACACCAAACCAGACAGAAATTTAGCCAATCTCAAGGTTTCTTTCTGCAAGTATAGTAATAATAACTTTCCAGGATGATATGTTGTTTTCATCAGGCAAAAGAGTTCAAAGCAGCTCAAGCCAGGACACGTAAAAAGAAAGATTCAATCATGGCTTGGAATGTCAGGACAAGAAACATTGAGAAAACTGTCAGTTGGCTTAAATAGTTGTTAATGTTTCCTAAATATTAACGTTTAGCTGATTAGCCACAGCGAGCTGAAAGGTAAACCGTGCAGATAAGCTAATAGATTGGTTCATGCCACATTATTTGTCTTATAGCCGCTGCAGTCAGGAAAACCAGAACTCCGAGGATGAGGTGGATGATTTTCTTGCACGAGCCATCGACGCACGTAGCATCGACCAGCTGAGGAAAGATCACGTCAAGAAGTTTCTGCTCACATTTCAGACACCCGACCTAGAGAAAAAGGTTGGTGTTTCACCAGTTTTTCTGCTATAAAACGTTTTTGTTATGTCTAAAAGAATTGGGTTGGAAAGTAGCTAAGCTTCTATCTGTTTCTTTCTGTGTGTTTATTTTTCCACAGTACTCCAAAAAGGTGGACGATCGTCTGGGCGGTTACGTGGGCTGCACTCTGCTTGTCTTCTTCTGCATCTGTTTTATTCAGATGATAATTTTCCCAAAGTAAGTCCTCTCTCTGACAAACTGCATTTCCAAGTTATACCAAATTACGGCCGGGAAATGTGTTCTTGATTAGCTTGTGAGGGGTTAATGAGAGCTGTACGTCCTAATGAGCTTGCTTTTTTATCTTCCACAGAACAACACTTATGCTCGGTCTTTACATTAGCATCTTCATCATCCTCGCCAACATCCTTTTCATCTGTGCCATCTATTCCTGCCTCAAAGTAGGAAACAAAGCTCTTCACCACTTCTTCTGCCAGATAGCTCCAGATAAGAGTGCTTATTACATGTCTTCAGCTGGCATCACTCATAATATTAACTTTCGCTTATCTGATCTTCTCCTCGCTTTATGTCGAAGCGCTTCCCAGCTGCCTTCCAGACACTCACCAAGAAAATAATCCAGTCTCGGGCAAACAGTACGCTGGTGGGCGTCTTCACCATCCTTCTTCTCTTCGTCTCTTCTTTCGCTAATATGGTAGGCATCGGGGACGGTTGCCGAGTTGCTCTTGAGTAATGAAACTGTTGTTTCGCATAAACATGTTATTTCAACATAGTCCACACTGTAAACAAGGGGCTTTGGGGCTTTTGCATTTGTCTGATCTTCCTTTAAACCGTCAGACATTTCCTTACATATGTTTCTAATCCAATTTCCGAGAGAGAAGAAGAAATTCAGAATTATTCAGACGACAAACTACATCAATTTGCCTAAGGGGGCCTGTAATTACATGCATCTGTTTCTAATCATAATATGCCACTGGAACCAGGATCTTTAAATTGGGCCGGGGTTTTTCTCTGGCAAATATTGTCATTATGGTTCTTTAAACTCACAGCTCTCCTCAAACTAAGACTAGAAACAATGTTTAGCTCCCCCGACCCCCAAAAAAATAATTTTTAATATTTTTGTGACACCATCATTCTCTAAACCTATTAAATTACAGCTTTAATTTTCGCTGATGAGAATAAATGAGTTGAGGTCATTGTTGCTTTGCCTCTCACTGGGATGTAATTTTATAATCATCTGTAACTCTTAGCAGACACAGAAGCTTGCAGGTAGATGGGTGAAAATGTAGAGCGTAAACTGAGCATAGTGAGTGCTGATTTCCATCTTAACTGAATCTAAATAAAATTATTTTGGGACCTAAATGAAGAATTGAAGGAAGAGATTCTCCAGTAGTGTTGAAATCGGAGTTCAAAATGACCACAAAAGGAAATAAGCTGTATTTCTGTTAGTACTGTAGCAGTACCATGCTAGTACCTTAACACGTTGATAGGAATGTATCGGCATGTTATTTTGTAAATTACCAGATTAGCGCACAGATAAAATATGACAAAACTAACGTGTTTAAAATAGTTATGCAAGCATTTCTGTAACATGCAGATATATTGTGTGGAAAATTCCTGAAGATCTCCCAAATATTGTTATGGCAAGCCTATTGAATATATTTTCATTTGCAGCAAGTACACTATCATTAGTTCATTTTCCACCCTCAAATTTGACCTAAAATGTTAGCTAGTAAAAATGAAATAGCCTCCAGTCATTTTTACATTGCCTCTCATTAGAGTATGATTTGATTTTTGTTGTTCACTTTGTTCTAAAATGTAACCAAAAGCTTACATTTTCTGACATTTCTGATGCAATTGTGATGTCAGCACATTTTCAGAGGATTTTGAAGAATGCGTCTGGTGACGTCAAAATCGATTATTGTGAATGACCAAAATGGAGGTAGAAGAAACACAATGTTGGAGATGCTCAAAGGTCCAAAATTTAAAAAAAAAAAGGGAACAAAAGAACTAAAACTCTCAAAAATAAACGTATCAGGCTGTTGGTTGTTAATTTGGCTGCAAGAATCCAACATGAGAATGACTGAAAATATCAAACCAAAAGACGACAAACAGTCAGAAACAGGAGTAACAAGGAATCAAGAAGTAAACAGAACACGTAAAGAAAGACAGATCTTAAAATAAAACAGAAACAGGGAAAAAAAAATTACAGAAAACAGCAACATCTACAGGAATCAGAATCTTCACCAATACATGAAATACCAAAAGAACAGAAATGAAGAAGCACTAACACTGTTTTATGGTTTCAGAGATAAATCAGTTACAGATTATTGTCAATAATAAAGCTTCCCTAAACTATTTTTACTCTTACGTTTATTATCTATGACACATTTATTATAGTTTACAGACACATAAGAGGGTGAGCTTAGCCTTAGATAAAGATTCTCTTATCAACTTTATACTCTGCCAGGTGTATTTAGGACGGTTCTGACTGGCGTCCAGACCAGACAGACCTATCACTCTGTTTTATTTCCAGCTTGTTAGATCATGTCTGTTGTCTTTTCATGCTCACAAAGGAGACACTCCTATTGTCAACCCTGAAACCACAAAGCCCTTCCACATTTAACACAGATCCCCTCTCACCCCCATCTGCAACACAAGGGATAATTGAGACTTTTCTCATTTTAATCTAATATTTCTATTCCACATTTATCATCACTATGGAGACAGTGTTTTTCTCCGTTTGGGTTTACTTTTTATACTCATGTAAATGATTCATAATAAAATTGTCATATTTCTCAAACAGAACTGGAATAATGAGCAGTATTGAATCTTTAAATGAGTCTGGCCTTTTCTTTTGTTATTAAAGATTAGGAAAATAAGATTTAAAAAACAAAAGTGGTTCAACCAACTTCACTAAATAACAAAAAGAAATCAATCATCCATAGTCTTACAACTGTAAGATTATTTTCATTATGAACAAAATATTGCAATCAAGGGAAACTACATTTATCTAGATTAATATAAAGAAATAAAATGTCCACTTAACAATCACTTCAGCAAATCACTTCAGTAAAATGAAACATAAGACTGATTTATTATTATTAAGAAAAATCAATAAAATAAAAATCTAATTTATTATTAATAAACAAACATTTACTCTCTGTCAGGTAGCGAAATAAAGTTTCAGTTTTCATCGCAAGGTTGTTTGGCAGCAACCTTATTGCCACGTTGCCATAGAGATGTTATGTAAAATGAAAAATGCTGAGAAACGGCTTTAGCTCTGGTTCCGTTCGATGAGTTTGGGCCCACACAGATATAACTTCAAAGCAATATCGTAGTTACTTCAATACATTTGTATTACATGTTGAGGGTAATACAAATGTATCAGCATACATTTGTAACAAACAAATCGTTTGTTTGTTTTACTGATTTACCTGCCAAAAGGCGGCACATCCGGTTGTCCATCCTGCTCCATTTAAGATCAGATTTCGTCTTTCCTTCCCCAGTTTACCTGCAGCAGAGAGAAACTGCAGGACTGTATAGGACGGGAACTGAACACAACAGTGACTCTGTGCCTGCTGCAGAACCTCAGCAGGACAGCAGAGGACGGCCTGACTCTGTGCTCCAGTCAGGTGATGCCCTGCCATCTACCTGAGGTTGGTTCTGTTTCTATTTCATTCTCTGGGTGAATGTTTGAATGTTTCAGGTAAAAACTGTCCAAATATCCAGCTGAAATCCTTCTCCTGCTCCTTTTCCTTCCCTCGCTGTGCTGCAGTATTTCAGCTACAGCGTACTGCTGACCCTGCTGGCCTGCTCCGTGTTCCTGCACATCAGCAGCATCGGGAAGCTGGCTCTGATGCTGCTCATCTATCTCGTTTTCCTCCTGCTGGTGGAGTGGCCTCAGGTGACCCTGTTTGACAACGCCGACCTGCTGGTCTTTGCCAACACTCTGTAAGTCTGCTGCCAGGCTACAAACTAACTTTCAACTTGACCGGTTAAACTTACGTGTCGTCGGGTCGCAGTTTAGCTTAGATTCGACCTACTTCCTTTTTTTTTTTTTTTTTTTTTTAAAAAAAGGTTTAAAACCTAGTACTCCTATTTTTGAATGTTATGTCCTATTTCTGAATATGTTCTCATTTTTACCACAGGCAATTACCACCTGTTAATGATTCCCTGCAACAGTAAGTTGGTTTTTATGTTTGCTCCATTTTATTTAAGTGGGTTCATGTGTTTGCAGGGCTGACCCTCTCTCTCTTTTTCCTAGATCTGGTTTCAATGAAACCGCAGAGCAGTGGTAAGAAGCTTTATTCATAATATATCCACAGTGCTGTGATTTGAGTTCTTTGTACATTTATTTCGAGGTTTTTCTGTGTTTGGTTCTGTTCCCTGATAGTCTCTGTGTTGTCCTGTCTCCCCTGTTGATTGTGCCCAGCTGTTTCTAGTTCCTGTGATTACCTTCCCCGTGTATTTAGTCCCTCCTCTTGTCTGTGTTCCTTGTCGGATCCTCGTCTAACGTCGTCTAATTGTTGTCTGTGTCGGCCTTCACAGTCGAACTGTCAAGTCCTGTGTTGGTTTAGCTCACGTTTTCAGTCTTCAGTTTTTCAGTTGCTACCGGTATTAGCTGTGTGCTAGTGTTTCTGCCGTTCCGCCTGTACTGGACTGTGTTTTGAGCTTCTCTTCATTAAATCATCATCATCATTTGGGTCAGCGTTCATTCTCACCACCACCAACCAGCCCCATGACACACAGTGCAAATCAGAAGTTTACATAAGTCCCTACTGTCCTTCTGAAAACAGGGAGATCTTGCTGGGTTTACATATACTCACTAAGTGCATGACTGCCATTTTTGGAGGGAATTGTTACACAGATATTGCATCAGAATGTTACTAGGACATTCATGCACATGATGGGTGTATGCAAAGTTCTGATTGGCATTGTAGACATCTGCTTTTATTCAAAGGTATTTAAAATAATTAGTAATTGTATTTTTTTTTTTTTTTTCAGCCCGGGGGCTGGGACCAAGGGGCCCCTCAGGGTCATGACCCCCATAATCCTGCTGGTTTTCGTTCTGGCTCTCTATTTGCACGGCCAGCAGGTGGAGTCCACCGCACGTCTCGACTTCCTCTGGAAGTTGCAGGTGAATAAGTTTCACTTTTGCACTGAAAGCAGAAGTGTTTAAAGTTTGCAAAAGTCAACTTTCACCACGTATGCTTTGCCGGCATGCAGCACAAAGAGCGTTGTGTGTTTGTGTGTCAGAAGGCTAATATTCACGAGAACTGAAACTAGAGAAGCCAGGACAAATGTCAGTTCATCGCGAATTTCCACCTGACCTGCTGTAGTATGCTAAAATGTTGTGAAAAATCAAAGCAAAACAAATAAATCTTCAGAATTTGCGTCTCCTGTTAGTGTAACTCCCTCCGTGTGTCTCCCCAGGCCACGGAGGAGAAGGAGGACATGGAGGAGTTACAGGCCTACAACCGACGCCTGCTGCACAACATCCTGCCCAAAGATGTGGCCGGCCACTTCCTCGCGATGGAGCGGCGAAATGACGAGCTGTACTACCAGTCGTGTGAGTGCGTCGCTGTCATGTTCGCCTCCATCAGCAACTTCTCCGAGTTTTACGTGGAGCTGGAGGCAAACAACGAGGGGGTCGAGTGCCTCAGGCTGCTTAACGAAATCATCGCCGACTTTGACGAGGTAAAATATGGACCGCCAAGCCGTGCAAATAAAATAATGCAGGAAAAACAACAGTTACATCCTGTTAAGAGGTGAACACTTTAGGGGTTTTTAACCAACAGCTCCCGTTCCCTCTCCTAATTCGTGCTTTACCACTCATCTCCAGATAATCAGCGAGGAGCGGTTCCGTCAGCTGGAGAAGATCAAAACAATCGGCTCCACCTACATGGTGGCCTCGGGCCTCAACGACACCACCTACGACAGAGAGGGCCGCTCGCACATCCTGGCTCTGGCCGATTACGCCATGAGGCTTCGAGAGCAGATGAAATACATCAATGAGCATTCCTTCAACAACTTCCAGATGAAGATCGGTACGCTTGGAATCTAGAAGAAATTGCTCCTGAAACATTACCTCATAAACCCTCTTTACGTTTAATCAGACACAGAAGACTTAAAATCAGGAGATGTGTTTTTTGTTTGTTTTTTTTTTAAATAGTGTAACTTACTTGCAGCATGATTCGTTCTCAGGGTTGAACATGGGGCCTGTTGTGGCAGGGGTGATTGGCGCCAGGAAACCCCAGTATGACATCTGGGGAAACACAGTTAATGTGGCCAGCCGAATGGACAGCACTGGAGTACCGGACTACATCCAGGTACGGCGTTTGCTTTAGACCGTGTTCAGAAACTGCTCCAAAGTTTTTACTTGTGCATCACAACACTTTTATCATTTTAGTTGAGATTTTTGGGGTTTTTTTAGTTGTAAAAAACAGAAAAGAATCAAAACAAATAAAAAAAAGTGTTTGTGAGATAAGAAAGAAAAGAAAAAACTAGTAAAAGTTTCAGAGTGAAGTTAAAAAAGACAATGCTACATTGTATCAGCATTGGATTCAGGACCATGGAGTTTCTTCTTTCTTGGCAATTTTTGCTATTTTGTACCCACTGACATTTCTTCAGGACGGCGTCAGCATGCCGCTCCAACACAGGATAACTCAGTAAAAAAGTTGCCAAAGTCGTTGTTGCTGTTGGAAAGTCGTGGGTCCTATTCCAGCTTCCTACTCTGCCACATGATTATGAGCCATTAGGAAAGACGCTTAAAACCAAATTGTCCACTGATCTCTGCACCTGTATGAACTGGTGCAGAGTCGTACACATAAACTAAAAGGTACAAAATGGATCATTTCTTGAGGTTACATTCTTTGTGAATTGGTCCAACAACCACAGCAACAACAATATTATTTGCGTCTTGTTCCTGCTGAGCAGTTTCCCGCAGTACTGGGCTAATCTTAGCATGTTTATTCTCTGTCTTGATATGGCTCATTGATAGTTTGGCTATTAATATTCCTGTGCAGTTCTATTTCATTGTGTGTGTGTACAAAACTTGAAATTCTGGTTCAAGAGCTGAGCTGTGTTTCAGTGTCCTGCACTGAAAGCTGTATGTGAGCACAGCCGATGCAGCAGGGCGCAAAACGCACAGAGGCTGGAAGCAGAAAGGATGTTAAATGGCTCCAATGAAAATGTGCGAATGTTTTCAAAGATTTCCCTTGCAAATGTGTTTGTGTCACATTGGACGTCGTCATCACATAGTTTTTGGGGGTGGAGTTTAGTCAGGAAGTTCAAAGCACCAATCATTCAAAAATGTCTTGAATGGACTGTGAATAAGTTGTGGGCGGGTTAGCAAACTTATAATCCAGTGGTGGAGCTCAATCTTGTTTCCTTGGAAGGTGAGAAAAAGGATTCAGCTTAAATCAAAAAGTCCTAAACCTTAAATCTTAAAAACTACGTCACCAAACCTAACTTAGAGTAACAATAAATGCTTTCCCAAGAGATATCTTAAAGGGTTTATTTCCCTGAAAAGCAACAAAGTCGATGAAAAAGATGTAAAAAAAAATAATCACACAGTAAATATTAAGCTTAAGTGAAGTCAGAAGCAATTTGTTTAAAGTTGAAATTTAATTCATTTGGGAGCGACGATGCACTTTAATTAACATTTCTGTTAGATTTAGCCAAAAGACTATTTTTCATCTGTTGTCCCAGAACCAGATGTAAGTTTCAAGTATTTTCCTGACTTCATAAAGTTGTGTCTAAAGTCATTAAATTCGTGTCATGCGATTCAGGTCCACACCTCTGGCAGATTCTTAGAAAATTAGTCATGAAGGCTCTTGCTCAGTGTTTGCTCCGACACAAATGTGGGTCACTTGTGTCCATTCATATGTAAATCATTACAAAAAATGACATCTAACTCGTTTTTTTTGTTGTTGTTTTTCTTCCACAAACTCAGACTTGCACGTAGAGTTAATAGAGTTTATGCTCAGTGTAAACAACTCGAGGCAGATCACAATAATCACTAAAAAATGTTATGCATTTTGCAGAGGTGTCATCTTGCAAGAATCTCAGTTACTGCCAGACATGTTGTGTTCCAGCAGATATGCTCCTCGTTGAATGTCCCTTTGGGATCAGGCAGAAAGCTAAATTTAAATTTCCCCTGGAGACAAAGCTGCTGCCATGGGTCAACGTCATAATCATAAACATTTAGCAGATGTTAAAGCATGTCTTCAAATGTTTTATGCACATGCAAAGCTAAAGGCTTGGGGGGGATAAGAATGACTAGATAGAGCACTGCTGCGCCCTGTAGGACAGTTTGTGGTACTGCAGCTCCAAATGTTTAACCGTTTTAATTTCACTACCAAATGAGCAAAAGGCATCTAAAAAAAACACCAAAATGAACATTTTCAGTTTGTAAAATAAAAATAAAAAAATATATATTTATTGCCATTTCCTGGTAATTTCCTTAAGTTTCATCTACTAAGTGATTTGAAATAGTTCAAAAACGTAGAAAAACCAATTATTTCCTTTTATCGAATAAAAAGTGTCACTGTAATTGTAATTACAGCGTAATGATTCATAATTGAACAAATATTTTGAAATATCAGTGCATAATATTATCTACAGGGCAGTAAAAAGTACATACTTCCCACATTGTGTAGCGTTTCCACCACAAACTTCAGGTGCTTTTTACTTGTGTTTTATGTGAAAGGCCAACACAAAGCGATGTGAAAGGAAAGAGAAATGACTTTCAAAATGTTTTCAAATTAAAAAACTGAAAAGGGTTACTGTGCATAAAATCGATTTCAACTAACTGCCTTCAAAGGTTACCTCATTAGTAAATTGAGACCACCTGCAGGCGAATTAATCTCAGCCGTTCTCGGAGATTTTGAGAAAACGAAAGAACAAAGAGCCGCATGGAAACCAAGGAACCCAGTAGGTCAGAGATAAAGTTGTGGAGATGCTTAAAGCAAAGTTAGGTTGTGAAACAATAGCCAAAACTTTTAAAATCTAACATAGAGCTTTTCAATACTCCATTCGAGCATGGACTAACTACAAGCTTATCCCTTCTCCAACACACCTTAATCAAAAGCTGAATTTCCTCATCAGAACTGTGTTCATTCAGGTTTTATAGTCGTAACCTGACAAAATATGAAATGTTCAAGTGGTCGATACTTCTGTGAAAATACACTGAACGTTTGGTTGTTTTTTTTTTCCTGCCAGACTGACTAAACATCTCACATATTTCCTTCTCCAAGGTGACCACCGACTTGTACCATGTGTTGGCCAACAACGGATACCAGCTGGACTGTCGAGGTCTCGTCAAGGTGAAAGGGAAGGGGGAGATGACCACCTACTTCCTCACCAGTGGCCCGCCGGGTAGTTAACGGCGGAGGCAGCCCGACCGCACGGTGACTCCCGCTGCGTTGAAACGGCAGGGACTGCAGAGAGACTGAGCGTCCGGCTCTGCGACGGGCGCCGGGGACAAGATGCGGCCGTCGGAGAGAGGAGTCCGTTTCTTGTCACATTCTCAGACTGAAGGCTTGTCGCGAGCCGCTCGATTAAATAATGAATCCCAGTGGCCTTAGGAAGGAAGCGGCGACGCTTGTGTTTTTGAGCAATAGTACAAGTATGCCATCTGGAGTCATTATTTATTTTTGTGAGAAACTAAGCAATCTTTCTTAGAAGAAAATTATGCAAGGACAACATGAAGGAGAAGAATAACCAAAGAACAAATAAATGTCTGATGATTCCGTTCAACACTATAATAAACTTTATAAGCTATATTATTCCTCTTTTTCAGAGAGCGAAGGCCACAGCAACTTCTCTGAACTGTTTTTAACAAAGAGGAGCGCACACGCACAGATAATGCAGAAGGAAAACGGCAACGACAGCAACCTTGGCTCTGACCTTTCTGTTTCTAATCAGGGCTTTCTTTGTTCCCTCCACCCTGCAATTAGTTTATGGCCCACTCAAACACACGGCTGAGCGCCGGGCCCCTGTGGCCCCGGAAGAAGACGTGGGAAACAGAAGAAGAATGATTTGACCTGAAGAACGATTGTATTCCAACTATAAACCATTTTTGTACGGTTGTGTGTGTGTGTGTGTACGGGTGTGAGCTCTGTAGCTCGATCTGATGAGGGGCAGACGGAAAACTTTTCACTGTGAGATTTCTAAGATACTGTACGACGCTTTCTTGCCAAACTGTTTGCTGCAAATCATGTTTTGTTATTCACTACAGTTGAGTGTCCATTCCTGATTGTTTGTGTCAAGACTGATCTTTTGAAGACGATCGTGTCCCACTGCGCCTTTACTGGACTGTGATTTATTAACTGATTTCATTCCAAATGAAATGAGCGTGGTTTAGTTGGAACTGTGTTAAAGGTAAGCTGACTTCCTGACAGCTGTTGAATTATTTTTTATGCAGAAATTCTCCTTCTGCTCTGTATTGCCTTGATATTATTCAGCACTAATGTTTGCATTCTTCATGGCCCGATATTCACAACCTTACACAGCAGTATTTGACGCTAATTTCTAGTATAAGCACCCGTGAAAGAACTGTTGTTTGAAACAATAATCAAATGAATGTATGCAAAAATGAGGATTTTTATCTAACAGTGAGGTGATTTGAAGAAAAACATCCTGGTTCTTAAAATCCTCGTACTAGAAGCCCAACAGTTTAGATTGAATATTTTCTATAAAAAAAAAAAAAAATGCTTTATACTCTGTTGATGTGCTTCTGTTTCTGTCTTGGCGCCAAAACGCCGCAAAACAGTCACTTGTTGCTCTCTGTTGTTATGAAAACCCAAGTAAACACTGTCTCATCTTCAACTAGTGCAACTGCAGATAGAGTTGGATTTTACTAGAATAAGAAATCAATAAATGGCTTTTTTCCATTGCTTTGCCTCATATGGTTTTGTTGTTGCGCATACGAAGAACAAGAGCAAACCTTTTGGATAATGCATCTTCTTCTTAAGTAATAAGCACTACTGCTTATTACTTAATAATAAGCAGTAGTGCTTATTATTAAGTACTAATAAGCACTACTAGTAAAGATGTGTATGATGCCTTAAAATAAATTCAAGTTGGAAAAATGAGACTTTAGCTAACTATTTGGTTAATAACTATTTCTGTAACTGTGAAATAAATGTAGCATTATTTTTAACTCGATCAAAGTGTTGATGGTCTTTTAATTACGACTCAATATGCATGTAACAACATTAAAAGCTAGTATCCCGATTATTGGGGGCAAATTAATCAATTTTATCAATATAATTTGTTAAAATTGTGTTAAAAGTTTATTTTAATCATTTCAGTCTGAATGTAATTCACTAAGACAGCAGTGGTAGTAGCAGCAGAAGTACTATTACATAATAAATTTGACAAGTGCCCCTTATTAAATGATGCCTGTGTGCATACTGCTGTGCTTTTAAAAGTTGCTGTAGGTTGTTTTAATTGGCTTAAGATATGCCTTTTTCTCAGTTCATCGGCTGGTCTGACCCTTTTAACAAACTACACACCCGGATGGACCTGCTTCAGGCCAAACCTTTCAGATTACTTTGGCAGCCTTGCCAAATATTAGCAGACCGTTGGCTGCAATGCCAGCAGTCCATCAAATACGAAAGTTGGAAACAAGTTAAACAGGAAAAGCAAGACCATTCTGAATGCATGCAAACATCCAGCTGAACCAGGCACGTGCAGAGAGGGGGCATGGGGGTGCTTGAGCACCTACCCCTTTTGCTCCTTGCCCCCAAGTGCCCTTTTGGTCGATTTTTTTTTTTTGTAATATTTTCTAAGCCCTCTTCTGACACGTACGTATGACATGTACTAAAATTATTTGGTTTTATGTTGTTTTTTTTTTTTTTTGTAAAAACATAATAAGCCCTCCGGTCACCTTGTTAGCTTTGACCTTTTGCCCGTGACGCATGACGCAATTACCTCTCGCGCAGTGAGATAAAGCAGCTAACTGCAGAGCTCAAAGTGACATATACAATCAAAGTAAATTTGTAATTTATCATTGTTTATTAAACTCTGAAAGCTGTGTGTCTTTTTTAATTTTATGTCCTAGAATGTGGTTAGATGTGCCTTTTTTTTTTTTTTTTTGAGCACCTGCCCCTTTAGTGGTCTCTGCACGGCCCTGAGCTGAACGTTATCCGTCGGTCGCTAAGCAGCTGGCTAGCAACTGAGAGAACTAGACCGGTCTGCTTCTGCAAGCGCTGAAGACAAAAATATCTTTAAAAACGATTCCTTGCACAGTCCAAAAGTCCAAATTGTAGCTGGGTAAGAGCCCAGCTTCTTTTCATCAGTCAGGATGAAATCACTGAAACCTCGTTATTGGAAAACTGAGCCAAACAAGGAGATCTTAGGTTCACCAAGTCTAGAACCAGCTTTGAAGTCTACAGTCTGTCTACATTCCCAACCAGGTTATTCTGAGAAATGCCAGGTAAAAATCATTTTCCATCCCACCGTCACACATGTAAACATGTGGAGTTTGCAAAAGGCAGCTGGGAGTTTGACTCGACATTGTGTTTTGGCAAAAATGGACAAAGATTGAACGAACTGGTGAGGTGAATATATGGAAAAGCACATTGTGATCACTATTAAACGTAGTGGAGGAACCGTGATTTCCTGTGTGGCTTTTCTAAGACCACACAGGAAATTGTGAGACATTTCAAATGCAAAATCTACAAGAAACAGAAAATAGTTTGACACTGGAACAAGACAGCTAGGCAAAATGTGTGGCTAAATCAACCTAAAAAAATAGTTCAAAAGACACAAAAGTGATCATCTCATTTCAATGTCCAGACCCAGAATACATGTGGTGAAGAGGAGACAACCCAGGCCTCTGAATGATCCAGACAAATATTATAAACGGGAAAAGATCCTTTTATCTTAAGAGCTGTCATGATGGGGGGGGGACGTTGAACAACGTATTAACAGCACTGAACACATTTGTTTTATCCATCATTCTTTGAGCGAGTTTCTCCAACTGCAACAGAAGATTAATTTATTCTGAGGCTTAATATTACCGCCAAGGCTGCCAGTAGATGTGGACGGTGCTGTGACTCAGCGCCGTTCTCTCTGCTATCTCTCATCTCAATCAGCAACCTGCAATCAAGACCGCACCGAGTGACAGTAACCCGAGAGAAACATCCATCTCCTCTCCTGAATAAGACGGTCTACAGTTTCAAGAGGGTGATACAGGAGAGAGTATTTAATTGCTTGAGCATGAATAATGTATTTACTTTGAACTTATTGCAGTGTTAACTTACAGCACTCTATGGTGAACATTAATTAAGTGACATAAATTCCTCCTAATCCCTGATGAAAAAAAAAACACTAATGTCACTCTGGTAGATACACGACACAGGAACATGAGTTGTATTGTAATATATTCACCGCTGGTTTAATATATTCTGACGCACTGATGTGGGTGGGTTGAATTTTAAAACTTCAACCACAACTTTTAAAGGGGGAGTGTCATGTAAAACTGACTTTTTGAGCTTTACACCATGCAATATTGTTATTCTCTGTTCAGAAATATACTTGGAGTGTTGCAAGTGCCTTTCATGCATGTTTAGGAAATCCTCGAATCGCCTTACAATTTGAAAATTGTATTGCAAGCCGACACCCGAGGTTGCTCTCACAAACTCCTCCATTAAAAATAGCTGTAAAACTTCTGTGTTTTTTAAGTGGCTGCTGAGGGGATTTATGATGTAGAAAAGTGAATAAAAATGACTATCAGGTAAAGTTTCACAGCTCAACATATAGTGTTTGAGACTTCTTTACTCCTCCAGGTTCCTCAAAGTTTAAACATGCGCAACTTGTTAAAAATGTCAGCTACTAGAACTGGACAGAAAATCACAGAAAAGCCACCAAAACCCAAAGAAACACGCTGGAAGATCTGTAGAAAGCCTCCAGACTGTTGATACAGTTCAACTGATTTCTAAATGTTTGGTCATGTTGGTTTTGGCAGTCCACTAAAATGAAAAAGAAATCTGCATTCTTGGCTCCCACTATGAGGGCACTGACCACTTTGTCACACTGTGGGAAATATTTCACTTCCTTTGTTTAGATTCACATGTCTCTTTGGTGATAAGGGTCTCTGCAATCTGAAATATCTGAGTTCCCTGTTACTTAAAATAGACAAAAACTAAGTTCATAACTCTGTTGTGTAACTTTTGACCTCCTTCAGAGACAATTCTTCAGACAGACTAGGGCCCCCTCTGCCGGATTGCTTGTGGACCTTTCCGCCCTTACACTTCTTCCTTACACTCAACTTTACCCAAATAGGACATGGATGCGCAATCTGTAATGGCTCTGAAATGAGAAGTGTCCGTTTATAATCTTTTTTTATTTATTTATTTGAATCTTTATTTGTTTAGATGGTTTTACTCAAAACTCAAATTAACCAAGAAACTTAGCTTCATTAATCTAAAGAATAATTTCAAATGAACAGGAATAAATTCTTGGCCAATATCAGTCTGGATTTGCTATCGTCTATGAGTTTCAAACTAAGAAACCTAATACTTACTCTTATTATGATTCACTAACTATGTGATCTCTGCCATGTGATGCTCTGCAGTTCTGGACGCAATCCACCAGCAGGGGACTCACTTCAACTAATTATTATCTTGTAAAAATGGCACCTGTTCATGAGCTGAAAACAACAGACAGGAGACCGGTCGGCTGTCACCTACAAAGTCGGTGAGAAGAAACGTGGCTGCTGATCTGGCAGCTTAACGCACAAGCCGAGGAGGAGCACCTCGTCGAGCAGAGAGCAGGTGTGGACAGCTTGCTCTTTTCATTAAAGTAAGTGGCGACTTTTTTTTATTTTTTTTTAAACTTCATAGGTGTAATGGACCCCGATTGGTATCGATAAGAAAACCCGGTTCTCTGTCTGACGCTTTATATGTCAAATGTGAGGCTTTGCTGTCACATTTGACAGTAAAGCGTGGCAAATAGAAGCTGCTCTGTGATCTTCAGTCACTGAAAGCAGGACATTTGTCACCAACTCTTCCTCTTTCATTTTAGATGTGAAACGTTAAGAGCTAAAAACTCTGTCGTCTTTTTTTCCCTTATCTATTAATATCTTATAGACCACAGTGTGCTGAATCTGTGGAATATCTATCAGTTACTGGAAAAAACAAACAAACAAACAGATGAAACTGTTGCCACATACAGTAAAGTCAGATATATTTCAACTCATGGAAGTAGTTTAATTTTGTCATCGAAGTGCACAAGGGGCGCCTTAGACGGCTCAGACCAGACTTTTCTTGAACACTGAAGTGTCCCCCTGAATCAATTACGAAGCCCAGCTGGCCTGAGAATATATTAAATTAATTATGACCAAGTAAGAGTGAGTCTTCTCTTGGACAGTGATCACCAGAGGACATCCAGATGTCCTACTTCGCAGTGATATATCCTGTTTCACTCAGCAGGAAACAGGCTGCTATTGTACAAAAAGCTGGTTGAAGTTATGTCACGCTCCACGTAGCAGATCTTAGTTCCTGTTGCAAATGACAGCTAGTCATTAAGCAATGAGGTGGATTGGCCTGTTGAGATTAAAAACAAAGTGCGTGTCACTTATTAACTGGTGTGGGAGCCTCACCTGCTGCCACGTGGGTCCTGGCAGGCTGTGGCCACAGAGAAGGTGAGTTCAGGTGTTTGCTGAGAGGTGTGGTGTGTTTGTTCACTCTCACCACCTCCCTGCTCTCCGTGCTCGCCCTGTGGGACTGTTTCCTGAAGAGACCTGGAGGGGGGAGGAAGGAGGAAGGAGGAGGATCAGGGTTGACTTGATCACCAGCTGCTATGACACTTGCTGAGACGCAAACCGGTTGGAGGGGTTTTTTTTTTTTTTTTTTTTTTTTACCCCCCTCTCCTGCTTTGACATCTTTGGTTTCATCCAGAAAAAGGTTAGTGAATGTATACCAGGTAAAAGGCGGGTAATGGTAACAGGAGAGCGTGTTGTTGAAAGGCCTTGATGTAAGTGGTGGCCTTTAGCAGTTGCCAAGGAGGCAAACTCAAGAGAATTTCTGTGCTTTCCTGTTTCACAGCCTCCAAGGGATCGGCCCATCTGAAACATGCGTCTGATACGCCGGCGTCTGTCTCCCCTGAAGCTGGTCCTCCTCGGGGGAACTCTTTTCTTGGTGATCCTGGTGGTTCTCCAGAGGGACGTCAGCTCCTCAAACTCCGGAGACCCCTGGCTGCAGGACCTGGCCCACAAACGGGATGAGGTTATGGTCATGGTCCGGAATGCTGTGAACAACATGGGCTTCCAGATCGGAGCTCCGCAGGCCCCGCCGGTGCAGGCGCAGCCCACGGAGGACGTTAAATGCCCCTCCGGATTTTACTCTCAGGCTGAGCTCAGACCTCACCTGGAGAGACCGCCGCAGGACCCTCAAAGCCCCGGGGCCGATGGGAGAGCGTTTGTGAAGGACAACATGACGCCGGAGGAGGAGAAGGAGAAGGAGGAGGGCATGACACGCCATTGCTTCAACCAGTTTGCCAGCGACCGGATCTCACTCAGCCGCAATCTCGGGGACGACACAAGACCGCCGGAGTAAGCTGAAGTCTTTAAGCTAATCTTTTATTGGCTGTGCTAATTGCCGTTGTGCCAACGACGGTGTTGACATGCAGACATGAGAGGATACAGCTCTGTCTCAATCTCAGAGAGAGCCGTGCTCACCCAGGTCAATGATCTACAGACGTTTTCACAATTTTTCTTAATAACCTCCAGGGCTTAGTAAGCCCACGTTGCTAAACGTCTCAGTGTGCAATAACAGAGACCGACACGTCAGAGTAAATACTCCCAGGCTCACACGCACACACCCAGACTGTAAACCTTTGCATTTCCTTTTTGCAGGATGCCAAAACTACTTTTCACAATGCACTTCGCTAATACATTTCAAACTACAACCATGAAAAAAAAACAGAATATCCGAAAACACTCGTCTCCTATGTGTTGACGTGGGAGACCTTGTGTGACTTTCATTTCATCAGATATGCCTCCTTCTCTTTCTCCAGGTGTGTGGACAGGAAGTTTCCTCACTGCCCTCCTCTGCCCACCACCAGCGTCATCATTGTCTTCCACAACGAGGCCTGGTCCACGCTCCTCCGGACGGTCTACAGCGTCCTGCACACATCTCCCGCCGTCTTGCTGAAGGAGATTATCTTGGTTGACGATGCCAGCGTTGCAGGTAACAGTGAGACACGTGGAAGATGAGCAAATGGGAACGGAATGGAAAGTAAATGTCAGGCTGAGGGGTACTGCAGCAAACCCGCAGTGCAAATTCACATTTTCACACAGGAAATAATCCAGAGCTGCACCTTAGTCAATGATTCATTCTCCTCTTCAGATTTTATTAGTTATTACTGAGCAGAAGTGGTTCAGAAATAACAGGAACAAAACCCATCAATCTAATGCAGAAGTGCCAGAAGACGGTGTGGGTAACTAAATGTAGCCTCTGTGCTGCCATTTTTAGAAAGCACAAAAAGTTATTACACCTACTTAATTTCGTACATCAAGCTTAAACTTACTGTTTGTAGGCTGTTGTTTTGGAGCATGGCTACGTTTTTGCTTTGCAGCCTTTTTGTCAACGTTTAATTTTTTATTTTGTTTTATTTCTTTATCTTACTTTTACAGTAGTATTTAGCTAAAGAGAGACTGTGTTGCGTGCTGCACCTTCCTTTCGCTGTTCTCAAATAGTTTACTGTGTGAGGGAGAAACCACAGAAAGAGAAGTTGGTCCCACAAGTGTTGTGTTGTTACAAGATGAATTATGATTGATAGAAATTATAACAAGGATTAAGCATGCTAACTGCAGCTGCTTGAAAATGTCGAGCATATTATAAGCATATAATAAATTAAACAGTATATTTTAAAACCTTTTTAATGGGATAAATATCCGAGGCAGACAAGGTAAAACTTAGACTACAGGCACTGAGTAAACTAAATGGCACAATCGCGTCATGTGATGTTGTGTGCTGATTTGAATGAAATTTTGCTGTGTGATTTTAGTATCGGTTTTCTTTAAGCGCTTAGGTTGGCAATCAGGGTCAGCATATATTAAAAGTAGGAATCTCTGATTAGATGTTATTATTATTATTATTCGTTCACATTGTCTGGGGTCGTCATCCTTTACCCTGGAGACATTAGGTTCCTTTAAAGTTTTCTTTAAAGGTAAATGATTTCTCAGAATATTGACCGTTCCCCTGTTTTTGCCACAAAGGTCTGTTGTCTTTTTCAGACATGGTCTTAACCTGAACACATTTTCTGCTAAAGCTGCAGATGTTCTGCGAACTCTTAACATCTGCATCTTCAACTATACTCACAGAACAGTAGAGTAACTCGTAAGCATAATGTCATTCATATATCAATATTGCAGATATTTAAATAGCTTGACTAAATTATTTGTTCTGGTTAATGCCGTCACAAAACGTGTTTTCAGTTCCACTGTCGTATTTAGTGTAATCAGCTCCAAATTGTGAATCTTTGTGAAAACAGACTGCGAAATAACTTTTTTTTTTTTAAATATCTGCAACTAAGCATAAAACAATCAGTAGGCCTATATTATTATGTTTACTAAAACATGCTGCACTATCCCATTAATTCCCATCTACTTCCAATAAAACTGGGATTCAGATCGTCAACATAATCACATCAATGACATAAATAGTGTGTTGCATTTACTGTGAAAGTGCAGCTAATATCAGTGTCTCATGCTTTATCATCTTTATCCTGCTCTGCGCTTTCCTTTGTCACTGGACGATAACGACGTTGATTTTTTAATTTTTTTTTTTTGAGCGTAAGCCAAGCATACTGGTTTGTTTTCATCCTGCATTAACGGTCCACATGCTTAGCGTCAGCCGTCCAACAAACAAAACGCTGGAGGAGGGAAACGAAATCCTCCCAGGATCCGGTTATGTGTGGCTATTTAAACAGTATCATTCATTATCTGAGATCCTATAATATCAACTGCCTTCTTACACTGTGAAAGGTGACCCAGAATCATGTTTACTTAGGATTTCAGCAGCCGACTCACTCTGTAGGAAACAGGTTGTACAAATAACTGGGACTCGAAGTGAGATTGATTTGGAAAAAGGCGACCACGTCTACAGCAGCGCCACAAGAATTTGTGTTTTACTGGAGATAGGTGCTGCAAATTCAAATTCGAGGGCCAGGGCACCTTGCAGGAACATGTTAGATGCAAGAGACAAATTTCCTTTGTTAAAGTAAATATTCTCGTATAACATGCTGCTGATGATCATATGAAATGCATATTGCCACGAAAATAATCCTGTCTAAATAATGCAAACCTTCTAGAGACGGAGGAAAGAATCAGGGTGTTCCTTTCTGTTTCTTTGTTGTTGTTTTTTTTTTCCTTTCTGTCCTGTCTTTCTGTTTATCTCTATTTCTTTCTGTATCTACATCAGCATGTCTTTGTTTTTAATAATTTGTTCATTCAACTCCCGAATCTCCTTTACAAGTAACTACCATTTTAAACAAATCCACATCCGACTGGGATGTTAAAACAGTGGCTATATTTACAGTACAATTCCTTTGGAAAAGCCTGCAGTTTTAAGAGAATAGTAATAATAAAATAAAAAAAAAAACTGTGTGCCACTAGTGAGCTAATTTTCTGCTGCATTTGTTCAGATAGAGCCGGGTTAAAGTGCAATCTGTAAGAAACAGGACAAGACAACCAAAAAAATGTTTAAAAAAAAAAACAAAACTGGAAAATCTAGTGGGGATGTGTAACATTATACAGTATTTGACAGTAGATGATTATTAGCTGACATTGTTCTTCTGTTAAGTGATCTGTAATACTCCATGTGAGAACTTTCTTACAATAGAAGAACATGAAAAGGACCTGCCACTAAATACATGAGAGGTATTAAGAATTTTATGACACTGTGAACGTAAAACATGAGCGAGATGGGATGCTATTTCTGATTTGAGTTGGACATGAGACTTTCCTGAAAACTTGAACTTTAAGCCTCTATGTGTGACTGTTTTAACAATCAACTTTGTCTTTTTTTTTCTTGTAACTGATACAAAGTGCTGAAACAAAGAAATGTAAAAGAAACAGAAAATCACTGTCTTATTATTATTTTTATATTCGTGTCATGTTCAGGATTCGTATGATTGCACCAAAAACTAAAGATTCTGCCCTTTTTATTGTTCTGTAAATATAGTTCTTTGCAAACTTATCCATCTATTCATAAGGTTTAGGGTTTAATACTTTATAAAAGAGGGAGGGAATATTCTTCCCACAGTATGTCATGGCTTAACTCAAATATTTATTCTTGAGAATGTCCCAGTCAAATCCTGGATCTAATTCGATATGGAGAATCTGTGATGAATTTCAGAATGCCAGATGCTCTCCAACCACTCCGACGGAGCTGAAGCTGTTTTGCAAAGAGGAAGTGTTGGGAAATTCAGGGTGTAGAGACATAAACCAAATATTTTCAGTCATAATCACAGCGATGGATGTTTCTACAATATCCTGAGAAGCTTGCATGTAACCCAAATGTTTAAATTTTTTTATTAAACAATTTTAAACTCATGCTTAATTTTCCTCCCACTTTACAATTATGTCCTACTTTATTTTGATTTATCACATAAAACCTGATCATTTCAAGTGACATGAATACTTTTTCAAAGCTCATATAAAAACAAGTCATTCATGCTGCAACCTGATGATCTTTTATTAATAAATGTTGTCTTATTTATTGAGCCATGAAATAATCTATAACTGTTTTCCTCCCAGCTGCATGCAGACGTTTCCTCCTTTACTCTGACTTCTCTTTCTAGTTGCTAGAGCTCCAGCTCTCTGCTGCAGAACATCGTTGCTTGTGGCCGCGGAGTTTGCTCAGCTGAGAAATATGTGCCGCTTATTGTGGCCACAAAAGCTTTCAGAGGGGAAGTTTTATCCACTTTTACCCGAAGCGTTTCCACTTTGCTGCTTTTGTCGGTCTAAGCCTGACGAACGTTTGACTTTTACGTCTTCTCGTCAGCGAGGTGTTCAATCATACAGACCGAAGGCTTGTTGCTCATGTGCCACAACTGATGTGCATCGTAACTTCCCGTAAAGAGCTGTTCTAACACACTTCTTTTTTTTTTATCTTACAGACCACCTGAAGGAGAAGCTGGAGTTGTTTGTGGAGCAGTTTAAGATCGTCCGAGTTGTCAGGCAGCCCGAGAGGAAAGGCCTCATCACAGCCAGGCTGCTGGGAGCCAGCATTGCTACGGCTGAAGTGCTCACCTTCCTTGATGCGCACTGTAAGGAAACCTCCGCACACAATGCGGTCGGCTGCAATGCACGAGATGCAGGCAGTGTGTTGGGTTGCATACAGTCACCTGAAATGACAGTAGCGGATACCGTCAAACAAAGTGGTTGAGCTTTAAATATCCGGCATGAACTTGAACCCTAAATCGACATTGTTGGCAGTAGAGTTGCGATAAATGTACATAATCTCAGCGGTACTGACTTTACAGATTTTTCAAAGCAAGAACTGGGTGCACAAATTTGAATTTTACTGCTAATTTATAGCAGGATTTAAAATATATGAAAATGTAACTACAATACCCTCTAATGTTTGGATCAATGTCTGCAACAAAAATACCCATGCATGCTTGTTTCTACCATGTTCTCTTTGTCAAATACTGAAAGTTCATTTAAATTAATTTAAATTCATTTAAATTCCGCCATTTAAACACAGGTTTACGTTACCTGTAACGTTACCTGAGGCAACGTTACAGAATGCTTTTCATTATCCTGTCCACTTTGTGCAGTGCTACAGCACCAATGGCAGAAAAAGAGAACTTCAGCATGTTGCTGTCACCACCATGCTTCTCGGTTAGGACTGACTCCTACAAACGTTCTTGTTATTTGTCAATCTTTGTGTTGTTGGATGACCAAACACTTACCAAGAACTTCAGCTTCTCCATGTGGGCAGCTACAAATTTCTGCAGGAGACTGAAGCATTAAAGTTTTTAGTCCGTTCCTGAACATCTTAACCAGTTTCTTTTTATCTGAACTTGAAAGTCTTAGTCAGATGGTTGAAGTCATTGTCTCCATCCTTCCACACACACAAATCAAAGCTGGTCTTGATTGGATGGTTTCAGGAGGCTAACATTAAGCCTCTGGAGTAGCACCTACCTGAACACTTTTGGAAATAAATAAATTATGTTGAAGCCTGGTTGATTTCACAGGAAATCAACCAGTTTAAACAAAACGCTCTTATTTTTGATGGGAAGAAAGGTTAAAGGAGCCTCATTGATGGCAAGTCTTTGGTTTCTCTGCAACACACTAAGAAGTATTTTAGAGTTTGTGTGCATCGCTTTGACCCTTGTGAGTTTAAGAAAATCACCATAAATTCGAACCCAATTCTTGTTTTGGAAAATTCATAAAAGTTAATAATTGTTTCTATGATGTATTCTAAAAATACTTCGTAGTAAATTCATGGGTGTAATGAGAGAATGTAAACTTGCCACCAGAAAAGTATGCTAGCTTGTGCAAAAGGGCATTTGTAGAAAAATGTATGTCTTTTCTTTCCCTTCTATTCATGGTCAGGTGAGTGTTTTCACGGCTGGTTGGAGCCTCTCCTGGCCCGGATAGTTGAGGAACCCACCGCCGTGGTCAGCCCAGAGATCACCACCATCGACCTGAACTCCTTTCAGTTCAACAAACCCGTGGCCACCAACCGCGCGTACAACCGGGGAAACTTCGACTGGAGCCTGACGTTCGGCTGGGAGCCGATACCCGAGGAGGCAAAGAGGCTGCGCAAGGACGAAACCTACCCTGTAAAGTAAGATGGATCATGTTGTTTCCGCTGTTTAAAGGTCTGAATCATTTAAACACCTAAAGCCTTTGGATCTGCTCATGAAAATTTCAGAACACCTACTTTTGCCGGAGGCCTTTTCTCAATCTCAAAGAAGTACTTTGAGCACATCGGAACGTATGATGACAAGATGGAGATCTGGGGCGGAGAAAATGTGGAAATGTCCTTCAGGGTCAGTCTCTCTTATCTG